ACGCTACAAAGAGTTTTTCATCCCGTATGTCTTAACGGGTATACTATCAACTAAAGCTCGCTTGTATAGTGTGTTACTTAACTCCTACCGATCTGACAAATCTGGTTTCAATGTTGCGTTGAGTCCTTAGTTTGCATGTGAGCCTGCTTCTCTGATAACTCTAGTAAATGCGTACGTTCTGTGTCGCCGTTGTATGCCAGTACGTACTCTACCTCCTGGTATACGAGTCGGACTGACTCGACTCGTCATTGCTTTAGAGTGGGGACGTTTGTGAGCATGTTTTTTGATAGATCGTTCAGTGGAGCAGCTCTTTAGCGGACGGGACAGACCTTGCCGTTTACCACCTCCATGAAACGCAAATTACTTGCGTGGCAAATTGATGATTTATCCCTATGACATGTATGATTAAGGGTGGCATAACGGCCCCAATTGATAACTGAGTGTCTTTTGTCATCCCAGACTGATGGCTTGACCTCAGGCCGCATGATACAAGATGGCATAGCGGCCCCAATTGATAACTGAGTGTCTTTTGTCATCCCAGACCGATGGCTTGACCTCAGGCCGCATGATACAAGATGGCATAGCGGCCCCAATTGATAGCTGAATGTCTTTTGTCATTCCAGACTGATAGCTTGACCTTAGGCCGCAAATGATACAAGGTGGCATAGCGACCCCAATTGATAACTGAATGCCTTCTTTCATTCCATATTGATGGCTTGACCAAGGCCGCAAATGATACAAGGTGGCATAGCGACCCCAATTGATAACTGAATGCCTTCTTTCATTCCATATTGATGGCTTGACCAAGGCCGCAAATGATACAAGGTGGCATAGCGACCCCAATTGATAACTGAATGCCTTCTTTCATTCCATATTGATGGCTTGACCAAGACCGCAAATGATACAAGGTGGCATAGCGACCCCAATTGATAACTGAATGCTTTCTTTCATTCCATATTGATGACTATCGATGAGTAATCGATTGTGTTGGGATGACGGTTATCCCACTCGAGCTGCGGTTTTTGATTCGAGGTCGACCAGTTCCTCACGTACCTTCCCTTCCTGAATAGGCAGCGATCCAGTAGAAGGGAACATAACAAACATGAAACATTTATTACCCGGCCTCTGTTTGGACTTGGCCAAGCTCTTCTTTCAGGTCCACTATCTCCTGCGTCAGTGCGGAAGCTTGAGCGCGCTCTCGTGGCTCTAAGCATTGCAATACCAAGGATTTTTATAAGAGTCGCCTTGCTACTGAATGATTCTGTCTTTCGACTGAATTCTGGCGGTGGGAACCGTTTGAGGCTGAGACTCTGAGCCGAGTTCTCTTCTCAAGCTACAAACGCGAACATCAAGCTATACAAAAGTCTTAAAGAGGGGCTGTTTGTTATCTAAAATTGGCGGCATAGCCGAAATCGCACTAAAAGTGATCTCTCAGATTCATAGCGGTTAGTATTGCTAACTACCATATCCTCAGGTTCAGGCCCTGGACTCCGGGAGCCACGCCACTCCAACGCAACTCAAACATTTGAAGGCCACCAGCTGCTATTACTAAAGGTGTGTGCAGTGCGCTAGTCGATGGTTTGTGTGTCGGACACACTGTGCCTAGTAAGCTAGGCTGATGGTCAGCGGACGGAGATACCTAAGAGTTGGAGGGAATACTATTGATGCATATCTAAACGCTATGGTTGCCATTCGGATTGTTGACGAGGTTATCTATCCCAACGATTCAATGACTCGCGAGCTCGCCTTTTCCCGGCTCATGTGTGACTCGAGGGGAAAGTATGAGGTGAGGTGTTCTCTTCTACTATGTGATTCATAAATATTTCCTATGTCGCGGCACCGAATGAATCTATTGTTTTACTGGGCGTGCGCGAATTCAACCATCTAGATGCGGCATGAATACATCTTCAAGATTGTATGTGAGAGAGGATCTACGATTGTGTCGCATTATAGTAATTAGATGGAATGATACGCATGCCATGTCATCCGTAGCCATCTGGCTCAAGTATTGTATTTTTGCTCCACATCATGTCTAGTCGTGTTGACGAACAGCTGAAGGACCCTAGGATGGCCGAACACAACATGGTGACAGCTGGTAACGGCTCTACGTCCAGGGAAGACAAAGCTGGCGATGGACATGATGCGTCGGAGGAAGTCTTGAAGAACCTTCTGAGGGATGAAGAAGCATTCAAGAAAGAACTTACCAAAAGGAGGATCCACCGTGGGAAGATCCGTGGAAAGATCCGAGTGCTTCAAGAGAGCATGGAACTGCTCATCATTCCTGAAGGTCAAGAGACTACCGAAGAACTTCAGAGTTTAGAGGTTCAAGAGGATCTATTGCACGACCAACTGAGACGAGCGGAGGAGTATATCGCAGAGTTGCAGCAGTGTCGAGCGGAAGTAGTGTCAAAAACAGCCAAGGAACAGGCTCGTTCAGTAGCGTCTCGGTCTTCTATTCGCACCGGTAGTGATGACTTTAGAGGCAGCGGCAACTTGTCGAAGGACTATCATTCACGGTCATGTGGCGAAGGAGAAGTGGACGAGGATAACAACAAGCAGCTCGGCGACCTACTGGGAGACTCAAAGAAGGCAAAAGGTGAGGGGGAGAGTCAGAGTTCCTTCGCAATAGATCCAAAAGCGTCCCCTAAGTCGTCTGTCGAAAGGGCAGTGCCGAGTTTTCGCCAAGACAGTGATAGAGGGATCACTCTATGTAGAGTCAATAGATCCAGTATAAATGCTAACGGTGTCTCGAAATTGATACTACCAGATTGTGATGACATCCTCGATCTCGATTCACATTTTGAAGTAGTGGAGGGGATCTTGAGAGAATCAGGAGCAGGAGATTATGTGAAAGGTGATCCGGGAAAGCGCCAGTTTGTATTACGAGATGAGATAAAGATGTCATGTGTGGGCAAGCTATTGGCAACTCTCCCCTCGGGCACAGTGAGGGAATGTGCCAAGAGAGCGGCCCGGAGGTCCAAGTATGTATGGGAAAGGGTGAAGCAGCAGTTACGTTGCAGATTCTGCAAAAAGGCTACTATAATCTCCAATATAGAAGAATCCCTCAAGAAGCTGACTTATGGAGGACCGGGGAAAGCGGATCAGTTCTTGGACGTCGCAGAAGCCATCGTTCTGAGGTGTGTAGATTCTCACAAGGATAATAGTGAGACTTACAGGGTGATAAGACGGGTCATCGGGACATTGCCGAGTAGTATTGCTGTGGACGTGATTACCGAGATAAAAAGGGAGGCCAGGGCGAAGACAGGTTCCTATAGAGCTATAAGTGAGGAATCTTGGGAGAGGCTGTTACCATTCTCACAAGAGGTGCAACTCGATCCAGACGAAGAAGGGATAACCATAGCTGACATTATCAGGGATGTGAGCAGGACATCGGAGGAAACACAAAGAAGAGAGGCGGATAGGGTAGCGTATGTTTCTCAACCCGTTCAAGAGAAATTGAAAGGGGGAAAGGGATCGGATCGACAAGCATATCCCAAGTCATCGGGAACATCCTCCTTGGAATCTTGGGCAAAAGGCTTTAAAACTGCTCTTGTTATCACAGCGAAGAATCTCGAGGAACAGGATATTACGGGGAGATTCCAGCCAGATGGGTGCAAGCTCCTACGTAGTAGAGGAAAAGGGCGAGGACAACCTTTCGGTAAGGTCGTTGGAGCAGTCCTGGGATATAATGACGCTGCAAAGGGTAAGGAAGTTACCACTAAGATCACTGAGGATGATCAGTTGAAGGAGAAGTACAGGGTTAGACCCTTCACTTTCAAGGAGCAGGGAAACGAGAGCGGCCGAATGTGACTTGTGGGGATCACATCACGGCCAGAAGCTCTATTTCCCCCATAACTCTGGAACGGACTGGCCAGGGGGAAAGCAGTCCAGTTTCACAGGAGAGAGTTGTGGAGCGAACTGTAGTTAAGGAGGTAGAAGACAAAGTGTGCTTGATATACTTGGATGTTCCTGCAGAGCTGCAGGTTAGGACAGATGTAGTTAGTGCCGTAGATCCTAAGTATAAAATTTTGGGAGTTAAAGGAACCATTGACCCAGGAGCGGGCCGCACGTACTTATGCTTACCGAAGGACGATGCCCGCGAGCGCTGTAGCATACCCACTACCAAAGTCTCGAAATGGGCTAGGTTAGCGGATGGGAGCCGCACGGCGATCACGGAGGAAGCGGAAGTTTACTTGACGTTGTGGTTGGAGGGAGAATCCATAACGGCAGGACCGCATATGGTTAGGGTTTTATACTCAGACCACGTGGATGACAGGGCAGGCCTCTTGATAGGGCGAGACATAGGTAGCAGAGTGCGTCTACAACTTGACTTGGCTACAGGAGTAGTGTCACGGTCGAAGGAAAAAGCCGTAGGAGACGCTCTGGCCAAGGATGAAGAGCCGGGTGGGGACTCTGGAGGAGCTATCGATGTGATAAGATACGTGCAGGATAATGTTATTAAGTATGTCGATTGTCAATCTCAAGGAGTGGGAACTCAACCGTCTCCAAAAGAGGAGCAAAGAGCTATTCATCCTTTATTACCACAACAGGAGAGGGATGCGGCTAGCTCAGTAGTAGCGGCTCTAGTGGAAAAAGGGGATATTCAGGTAGAGGGACTCCCGGATTATAGGTTGTCATTTAGAAGGCTACAAGAAAATAGCCAACGGGACTGTGAAGGGCAAGAAGCGGCAGTATTCATTGAACTACCTCGCAAGCGCGCTAAGGACACATCCGTACTGCGTATCCCAAGATATGAAAGAGCGGCTTATAGGAAGCTGGACAAGCATCATCAAGAAGTTTATAGAGAACTGGTACAAGAGTTTGTACAAAGAGGGTGGTGGTTGAAGAGAGATGCACAGGACAGGGGCGAGTTTCAGGGCAAGGAATGCCTGCCAGCATCTCCTATCTTCCTAACGCAACTGGAGAAAAAGCCTAGACTAGTATTGGATTGTCGAGGAGTGAATGAATGTCTAGGAGACGTGTCCTCATCAAGGAGAGCGACATCTGACATCCTTCTGGCGGTAAGACTCAATGGAGGAGATATACTGGTAGCAGACCTTCAGAAGGCATACTACCGTTGTCGTCTCTCATCGCAATGGGTACTTCTGGCCACGGCGATAGGGGAGTATGTGACCAGCAGAATGGCGTTTGGTCTCCATTTTGGAGCGGGGTGTCTACAGGGGTCACTGAAGGAAGTGATAGCTACCATGATAGAACGGATGAGGCTCCTCGTGTGGGGCAGGATACTGCTATTCATCATGTTCTACATGGATGACATCGTGCTGCAAACCGCGAGCATCATGGTGATGGTGAAAGCTTTCGCTCTACTTTTCTCAATTCTGAGGATTTTGGGCTTCGTGGTGCAAGCCGATAAACTGTGGGCAGTTGTACGACGGGAGAACAGAGAGGAGTTCTTGCACTATTGCAGAGAGTATGGGATCGACATACCGATCAAGGAGGAAGGATTGTTGCTAGGAGTAAGAGTTTCGATAATGGGTAAGCAAATGTTGATGGATTGTGGGCTGTTGGAAAGGTGGACCAAGGTACGGGGTTTTTTGAGGTCGGACACATGGACCAAGAGCAGTACATTTGCATGTGCCGGTGCGTTAGCGCATGATGGTGTACAGGGACACCCAACACTACGTCTGATTGGAGATGTTCTCAGGGCCATTGTGGGCAAGAAATTCAGTAATTTCCCGTGGGATCGGCAGTTCACGATAGAAGACTTCGAACAGGGCATCAAAGGGGCATTCGAGGAGGTATTGATATGGATAGCAGAAAAAGAGCCGATAGGGAAGTGCGTACATTCCTCATCTCTACGGGAGGACGACAAGGGTATCCACCTGGTGTTGGAGACCGATTCATCTCTACTAGGATGGGGGTTCAGTCTGTGGGCCAATAGAGAGCAAGACTTAGATGAATTTCGACCGGAGAAGGGTTGTTTCGAGGTTCTAGCCTCAGCAGGGAGATGGACGAATAGAGAGGCAGTGGGGCATTCGAACAGGAGGGAGTTGAGAGCGATGTTTGAGGGGGTGAGCAGAACGGCTAGGTTTCTGGATTACTGGAGAGGCTCACATAACAAACTTGGCACACAAGGCCCGTGTAGACTTTCGATAAAAGGGGACAATTTTGCTTCTATTCGTTGGTGCAATGATAATCCTCCTTGCAAGGCGCTGGAATTGAGATCGATCATTAGACTCGCTGATGCTATCAAAGCAGAAATCAACTTCATCAGAGATAGTTGTGATGTTACTGTTGAGACTACCCACTTAGAGGGAATAAAAAATAGTCGAGCAGACGACTTATCTCGTCTACTCGAGCGCAAATGTGCGAATGGTATACAGATAGGTCGTGTGTTACAAGAGAAGCTCGACGAACCTCTGAAGATAGCTGCAGTAATAGATGATATCATTTGTCGGATAGGGGACACGCCAATCTATCCGGATGCCTTGGAAGATCGATTGTGCTATGTACCGGACGAAGTATTGTCGAGAGGTCGATTTGATGAGGAGACTTCAAGCCTAGCAGAGAGCTATCGCTGACGTCATATGATATCGATCGGCGTTGCATGTGTGGAAAGCACTGCGATTT